CTGCTCCCAGTGCATCGTGGGAAATCGTACGGAGAGCAGGAGGCTCTGCCATAAAGACGTCTGTCCAGAAGCTCACAGCTGTATTTCATCGGATTGTTATTCATTATATGAGCGCAGAAAGAAGACTTTAGGACACTAACAACTGCATTTTATTTGTGACAGAAATCAGAATGTGAATCTGAAGACTAAACAAGATCCAGCTGAACGTTAAACACACAGAAGAGCTGCTTTGTTTGAATCATATAAACGCATCATCATAAAAATGATGTTGTTACTCAGTATTCCTGACTTGTTTTCCAGCACAGATATCTAAACATTCTGAAATCAAGATACATTTACTCAAAACATTAAATGACAAGATATTAAGTCTAAAATTAAGTGAGTTTGAGGCAACTAAAACTCAAATGAACACCATAAAAACATTTTAGTTACTTGAATTAAAATAAATGTTAACTGAAATAAAATAAAATAAAAAAAATTATTTCAGTTAGTTGCAAAAGCAACATTTCTCATTAGTTTTGCTTGATGTAATAAATAACTAAAACTAAAACTGAAATCAACTTAATAAAAACTTTATATATAAACCCAAAAACTACCATAACTGACAAAAACAAAACAAAATTATTAAAATTTTAAATAAAAATAAAATGAAAACAGATATAAAAATACATATAAAATATTATGTTATATATAAAAAAGTATTATAATAATTTATATATATATATATATATATATATATATACTGTATACATATTAGTGCTGTCAAAAGATTATATTTACATGTATTAACGTGTATATATTTATATTCATATAAATTATATCATAAATAAATATATTTATTATATAAACGTAACATATTTTTCTTAAATATGTACATGCATGTGTGTGTATTTTTATATACATAATAAATATACACAGTACACACATATTATGTAAACAAAAACTTTTATTTTGGATGCGATTAATCGTGATTAATCGTTTGACAGCACTAATATATATATATAACTGATTCAAAATATTAATAAAAACTGGTAATGGTAATAGTATCTCAAATCTGACTGTGGTTCTAGAAAAGGGGAAACAGATCATCTTAATTAAAAGGGAAACAGGTTTTATGATATTTTTTTTCTTGTTTTAAGCATAAATTCACTTGATTTTTCTTCTCAAGTTAATGTAGCTTGGATTAAGAATGCTTGGATATTTGTACTGGAAAACAAGTTTTTTTTGCAGTGTAATAATTGTGCTGGTTCAGTCAACGGCTCGAAATATCAATAAATTCAGACGGCATAACTCGAGGTCATTGGTTCTGCTCAGAAGTGTGTGTTCTGCTGCGTGTGAAGGTGCTTTTGTTTGAATTCTCCCATTATGGAGTGTAAAATATCCCAGGCTGCTGTAACCGTAGCCGTCGGGTCAGTCCCGCTGCCAGCTTCATTCTCGCTGGTGAACCACAAACTGGAGCCGCCGGGTCGCTTCAAAGAGCTCTTACAGTAGAGAGGATATTCTATATCACAGGAGACGCTGATCCGTCAGGCTGAAACTCTAGAGGTTTGGAGTTTCGGGCCATCATGCGTCCAGCAGAATCAGAATATCCGTGTGATGATGGATGACGTTTACATGCAGAAACCCCTGATGTGTGTCTGCTCAGATATTCTCCCATCTTCACCATCATCTCCATCTGCAAGCAGAAGTGACTTCATACGAACACTAAAAATCATCAGCTGTCGGCAGCGGCGGGTCTGAAGGGAATCTTAGGAATGCTGAAATCCGTGTTTTGGTGTTTCTCCGGGTGCCAAACAGGCCGGATGTCCTACAGAGAGAGAGAGAGAGACACACACACACAGAGAGAGAGAGAGAGAGAGAGAGAGAGAGAGAGAGAGAGAGAGGCTCTGGGAACCAAATGACCTGGATTCAGGTCTGATGCTTCCTTCAGGTCCTCCTGGGAAAGTCCTACTTACACGTTTGAAAGTCATTACCATCGTCTGTGTTTTGTGTCTGAAGAGATTTTGGTCACACAAAATTCACATGTTATAATGATGAATATGGCAATAACTATGTGGAACCCTGTTTACAACACTGAATAAAAAAAATGTAAAAGGTAATTGCGATTTTTTTTTATCCCACAATTCTGACTTTTTGCTCGCAATTCTGATTTTTTTTTCTAAGAATTTCAGGATATAAACTCGCAATTGCAAGTTATCAAGACTAAAATGGCTTGATATAAACTGGCAATTCTGAGAAAAAAGTCATAATTGTAAGATAAAAAGTCAGAATTAGCTTTTTTCTTTTTTTATTCAGTGGCAGAAATGGGCTTCCATATACTGTATATCGTTCCTCTGTGTTGTTATCAATATAGTTTGAAAGTCATTATCATCGTTTGTATTTTGTGTCTGAAAGGATTTTGGTCAAACAAAATAGACATGTTATAATTAAAACGTTTACATAATGATAATGAAAATAATAAATACAAAGATAACTATAACGATAACTAAAACAATAAATATAATGATAACTATAACAATAACTATCTATATATATATATTATATATATATATATCGGCAGCAAGAAGAATTTTTAACGAGCCGAAAAGAACGCATGTCACACCTCTGTTCATCAATTTGCACTGGCTACCAGTAGCTGCTCGCATAAAATATTTTGGTTCGATAAAATGGACATGTTATAGAGTTTCATAATTAAATTAGATTTTTTTTTTATCTCTCTGATTTTGATCTTTATTCATTTACTGACAAACAGGGTTGCCAAGTCCATGGTTTTACCGCGGAATTTAGCTACTTTTACAATGTTGCCGCAGGTTGTTTTTGAAGTCTGAGGGTTAAAGCGCTATTTCGACGGAGGGGATAACCGTGGAAAAAACACGATTGGGCTAGTTTTGATTAGCAATAGATTGCTTGTGAATCGGCCGTCGTTCTGGAGAGCCAGACAGGGTTTGACAGAAGGTCAGATGCTGAGTGACCGCGGGCTCTGACTTCAGCAAGGGATTATGGGTGTTTGTGTCTGTACCTCCCACAGGCTCACCGGCTCCAAACTTTTTTCCTCCATCTTTTCCTCATTTTTGTTTTCTCTCTGCCTTTCTGTCTTTTCACTCCCGTCTTTCTGCACCGGTTCGCTGAACCCTTGCTTTTACAGTCTCTGCTGGATTTATGAAGCTCTGAAAAGAGAAATATATTCTCCGTGTCCAGAGCCAGCGTCTGATTAATGGTCGTTTCCGCCCACGTCAGTGTCGCATCATGAAAACAGACGTACAGTGTTCAGAAGAGATCAAGCTGTCCAAACCATTAGCCAGATAAACTGATCACATGACAGCAGCTTCTACTGAGCTCAGTGTGACAGAGGTCACGCTCGTGTCTGTGTGTGTGTGTGTGTGTGTGTGTGAGAGAGTGAGAGAGTGAGTGAGTGAGTGGGGG